TGATTTGCCATTTCCTTCTCTAGTTCATTTTATAGATGAGGAAATTGAGTCAAATAAGGTTAAGTGACTTGCCCAAGTTTATACAGTCAGTAAATATCTTAGGCTGGATTTGAACTCAGGTTTTCTTGCTCTATCCACTGTACCATCTAGCTGCCTGTTTATCTTTGCAATATTGTTGTTATTATATAAATTGTTCTCCCAGTCCTATTAATTTTACTCTGCATCAGCTCCCAGAAACCTTCCCAACTTTCTCTGAAAACACTCCCTTCATCATTTCTTGTAGCACAGTAGTATCCTATCACATTCATATACCATAACTTGCTCAGCCTTTATTTTACTTGCTCTTCCAACCTGTTTATGCCATCACCCTTCGTGTCTAAGTCATGTACTCAATTTGAGCTTATTTTCGGAGAAAGGCCGCTTCATTATAGACTGGAGTATAAGAAGTGAAAAAGACGAAGAGGTTCAAATGGGTTACAAAATGAGCTGTAGTTGTGATATCCCACTCCCATGGATGAAATAACAGATCCATTGAAGCACTGAAATATAAGCCAAGGTAATGGAGTTGCTAAATAGTCATTATTAATGACGTTTTATGACTATTAATAAGGATAAGTATGGGAAAGCTAAGAAAGCAAGAAAAAAAATATACAAAATAATGCAAAGCAGAGAAGCAGAACTTGACCAGTACATACATTGACTTCCTCTATGGAATTTTTAAAAGGATATGCTTGCGCATGTGATCAGATTACCAGGGCTAGTTTAGAGGGCATTACTATGATGTTAAATTATGAGTGATGATTGCTCAAATGAGATAGTAGATATAAAGTACTTTGTATGCTTTAAAATGCTATGTAAATGTTAGATATTATTTTGATTAGATAATTAGATTAGATAAATGATTAGATAAAATCACTACACTATTCAAAATTGTGCAATAGAAACCAGGTTTATGGGGAAAATGGGTTAAGGATGCTATACTTTCAGCAATAGTATCTTATGTTCCATAATGTAGATTCCTTTGTGCCTATTGCTGATGTGATATCACATGTTCTATCATTTCTTTCAAAATACTTTATTATTTCCAGCTTCTCCTCAACATTTAGAGCTTTCTTTTTACACACACTGCTTGGCAACTTTGAATAAGTATGTTTAGACATGTTTGGGATGTTGAATTAGAAGTGTTATACATACATACATGTATGTATTTATACACACACATATATACACACACAAATGCAGCAAAATAGCAAAACACAACTTTGTAGGATCACATGCAAAGTGAACTGAGGTAGCTGATAAATGGTTGGGATTTATCCATGTGTGTATTGTATGTATTCCTATGCAACTGTGTTCAACTGGACCTGGCTCTATTCAGTTGGGTACAATTTTCTATATTCACCCCATGTTATTTGTGAAAGAAATCATGCATAAGCAAACATAAAATCCATGTTGTGCACAATTTGTTCACTTGTTCCCCAATATATCAATCAAGTCAGAACAAATTTGTGGGGGGTTTTATAGTTTTATACCAAAACTGACTGTACTTGTATCTAATAGATTTATTGTTATTAAAATCAAGTAATATTATGATAAACATTTTTGTACTTGGAATAATAAGGACCTAAATCAGGGGTTCTTAGCTTTTTTGTGTGTCATGGACCACTGGGGCAGTTTGGTGAAGTCTTTGAAGTCCTTCTCAGACTAATGTTCTTAAATACTTAAAATAAAACGCATATGATTGCAAGGAAACCAATTCTGAAGTGCATCTAATAAAAAAAATTTTTTTTAAATGTTTATAGATTCCCAGGTTCAGAATCCCTGGCCTAAGATAATGATGAAACAGTGAAAATGGGAAAGAAGGTATGGGTTTCAGAGGCATTGTTAAAATCCAATATATCTACATTTTAAAAGGTCCAAACCTGTGAGTTCATGGATATGAGGAACTCCTTCCCTTCTAAATAAGAGAATTGTCCTAAGACACAAAGAAGTTTAAGTGACTTCACTGTAGGTACAAGGATTTGAACCTAGGTCATTCTTGACTCTGAGGCCAGCTTCCTATAGTACAGTACGTGTGTGTGTATGTGTGTGTATGTTGTTTGTATATATGTGTGTGTGTATATCTATATATATACATATATATGCATATGTATATCTCTTACATTGTGCATATATGTATGTGTACATAAAGATATATTTGTGTCCCATTAAATTCCCAGTACATAAAACTTTTCTAAAAAGAGAGAAAATGTATTACACAGAAAAACTTTTTATCAAATTATTTATTTCCTTTCTTCCCAACTAGAGTCCAAGTTAATTTTAGGTGAGGATCATACTTTTTTTGGAGGGGTACCTACCCCTGAATACTGGATTCCAGAATACTGGAAATATTTCAGGCACATAATAATAACTTTTTATGAACCAATCAAAACCTGGTGAATAGTAACTTTGGAAAACTCACTCATAGGTTTTATTTCTTCATCATCATTTAATATTGATTAAACCCATTCTCTTCCCCTCCCCCAACCTCCACAGAAGGAATTAGCTATTCCAAGTGGATTGCCAATATTGCAAATTTCATCCCTAACCACAGGGATGGTTTTCTGTGTTTTATCTCAGTGGAGCTCAACTGGTGATGAAGATGAAATCAGAGCCAATGCAGCATGTTCTAAAAAGATGCATCTTCTTACTTGAGGTTTGAGAAAAGAAAAGTGTAGTAAAATCGCATTTAGATCTCTCCTTTATATAGACACCTTTCCCATGACTGTCCTACATCCTTAGCAGGCCTGAGCCCCTGGCAGTTCAGCAAGTTTAAATGCCTTAAGGTGATCTGTTTCTTGATGGGCACTGGAACAGATGGTACTTTGTCTAACCCCCACTGGAGTGAAACAGAACTTTGTAATAGGATTAGTCTTATTTAATGAGTTCTAGGAAGCTGTTTGCAATGACAGCAAGAGACCTAGGACTTGGCCTCAGAGTAAGTTTTCATAGATCTCCCCTAAATCTGCAGGCTACAATCAACGCATTGACAAATATTTACCAATTAATAAATCTGTGTTCAGGACACTGTGTTAGGTCCTGTGAGCACTCTAAGGAAGTACAGGTTATTTAACCATGTCTTAGAGTGGCTTTCCATATAAGCATCATTTACTTGCTCATTAAATAATTCTTGGGGGAAAAATGACTTAGTAATAAAGACAGTATCTTGGACAGATCACTATTTTTGTTTCTTTTTTGTTTCTTTTTCTTTTTAGGCAATTGGGGTTAAGTGACTTGCCCAGGGTCACACAGCTAGTAAGTGTCAAGTGTTTGGTCTGAGGCCAGATTTGAACTCAGGTCCTTCTGACTTCAGGGCTGGTACTCTATCTACTGTGCCACCAAGCTGCCCCCGGATCACTATTTTAGAACATACGCATATCTAAATTATTATTGAAAATAATTGCTCCCTCCACTGAACCAACACAAAGAGTACTTTGAACCTCTTATCATACTTTTTTTTTTAATTTATCTTGTATTGTATACAGGCCCTAGTGTATATCTATTAGGAGTTATTAGGGGAAATCAGAGTTTACTGGACTGAGCCACTTCTCATGAAACTGAATATGCACTCTGATAATTGTATTTTGATACAAGTTTCCTTTGTAATCTTGTGTATTTTATTTAAAGCATTTAAAAACATTATTCATAGGCATCACAATCCTAGCTTCATCAGCCTGCCAAAGGAATCCCTAACACAAAGTCTTAAGAAGCTCTGTGCTAAACTTTTATTTTCTTTCCCTGTACTTCATCCTCTTTAGTAAAGTTTTCTAGGCTCCTTCCGTAGTTTTATTTGTCTTTTTGTGAATTATCATGTGTCCCCACTCATAATCAAATGCAACAGGTCTTAGAAGGCTCCCAATCACATCTTGGACACATGCCCGGGGAAGACAACGTCTTTCTTGTGTTAATGTTAAGTAGCTGCTTTTGTAACAACCACTACTCAATTCTTCTTCCTCTGATACTTCATGGACGATATGTATCCATATCATTATTTCTGGAATAACTCATGGGTGGCATGCCTCTAGCAAAGGTCCCAAATTTACTCTCTGGACAAGATCATTCACCCCAACTTGCCCTTACACTAACAGATCTGGGTTCCCAGAGAAGGACTACCATGTGGTATACTCAAATTTTCTCAGAGCCATGGCACAACCCTATGGTGGATGGTACGTTCCTCCTGTTCCCTATAACTCTCTAGCTCCTGCTGATGTGTTTCCATTTACACAAACTCAGCTATTCACAATGATGACATGTGCAATCTTAAACATAGCCATTTACTTAACAAGGAGAAAGCAATAATACTAACAACACCCCAGGTACTAATTTAAGGCAGATACAGGAATAATAAATACATGACACTCCATACATAAACTTGGGTCATGCTTTTCCACCAATGCAGTTAGTATTTTGCAGGGAGAGTGGATATATACTTACAAAAGCTTACCAAAGAGACACATAAGTGAGTGTGAGGGAAACTGAGAAAGATCTTCCCCAGCCCCTCTAGTAACTGCCTCACGACCTGGCATAAAGAATGTAAAGCAGAGTTAACATGCATGTCTGGGGGTACTATGAAAAGGAAACATTAAGTAATAAACAAAAACTATGTTACCTGGGAAAGCAATTATCTCAAAGAACATTTTTCTTGAGAAGAATGTGTAGCTGTCCCAGGAACTGGTCACTCCTTGGAGACTTACACAACAAAGAGGTATTTGTGGCTCTGACCAAGCTCCAACCTTTGTTAGAGTGTGTATTTGTATACTGAGCCTGAGCGCTCACCAAGGACACAAACACAAAACAAAATATTAAAATTGTTTTTCCCTGGTCTACACAGACATAAAAGGGGCATCTGAAAGGGGATTTTTTGGAGTACTTTGATGTCAGAGATAGGGACGCCGATTCTCTGTTGTTCAAGGGCGGATCTCGAGCACGGTCCTTGTTGTTTAAGAGCAGGACGCTGCTCTTTTGGCCTCCTGATCAGACCTCTTGATCGTCTCCAGTCTCCCCGGTCTCGTAGGTATTTTAGCTCGCCTGGTCAGTGAGTGTGTATCCTTTCTTTTCTTATTCCTCCTTTTCTTAATTTTGATTATTACTTATTGCATTGAATGTTATTCTTATCTTTATATGCTTGTGTTGTTTTAATCATAATTAATCACTGTAAAATAAATGTGATTGTTAAGTTTATACTGAGTATGTGTCATTATATCTTGAGATCCGAACCTAAATTGAAAAACTGCACAGTGAGTAATCCTTTCGATTACAGTGAGGAAAATCTATTTGCTCAGCATAACACACAGCTCTGGAATTGTAAACTTGGTGGCTTCTTTCCACTTCAGGACATGTTCATCAACATTCCTTTATTAACATAGTTACTTTGTGTTGAACAGATAATTCCGTTGATACAGTGAATCGAGCCATGATGTGCTTAACACCTCATTGGACACAATGTCTTAGCCAAGTTAGGTGATTCTGAGTTACTTTCCTGATTCTCTGCTTTAAAGCTGTTCCTCTGCTCAACTGGACTTATTCCTCAAAAGCAATTGTTATATCCATCATTTCCATCTTCATGTTTTGCTAATGCCGTACTTCAGCTTAGCATAGTGCCTGGCATATGGTAGGTATGTAATTAAATTTTTTCTATTAATTTAGTTGAAGTAGTGTTATATTTTTTTTTAGGAAGAAATGATAATCTTTATCGTAAAGTTAGCAAAATTCTCTCCAAAACATACTCCTTTTCAGGATTTTTCTTCTCCCCTACCTGTCAGCAAAAACAGGTGGCAATGCATTTTGCCTAAAGGGAGTTATAGTTTCTTTAAAATAATTATGAAATCTGTCCTTTCACTTCTCTTATCTTTCTAGGTTCAAACTCTAGATCCATTCTGCAAATGGCCCCACCCTTAGGATTAGTAACTGAATCTTATCTTCTGTCTATGATCAGGTAAATTATATTTGTCCCAAAATTATAAGACAGTTATGGTGTAAATATATAATATAATATAAATACCTAATAAAATTAATATATAATACAAATAAATATATAATATAAAATAACATAATATAAAAGATTTATCAACCTAGAAATTCTTCAATTCTTCATCTACATATCACTAAATCATACTGTGTTTTCGTTTCCCTCCAGAGTTCTACAGCTTATCACATTCAAATGAACGTGTGTTATTTCAGATCTCTGAGTCAGATTTAACTTCAAAAGCTGCTTCTCTTAGAATTCTAAGCAGATTTATGACCCCAGATAAGCGAATTTATCAAAGCTTACTTTACTCAGCAGCTGCTTTTCTCAGAAATAGACTTATGTCACAGACAAATGAACTATCAAGGGTCATTCTTTTTTAAAAAAAAATGGTTTACTTAAACCTGGAAAACAAGCAACTTCTATTTTTTCAAGGAACACTTCATTTTCCTTTAAAGCCTAGAAAGTGGTGAGGCATTCATTTAGCATCTTTATCTTTACATCTAGGAGACCATATAATAGTAAGCTGAATAAATAAAATAGTAAACTGGATGGCAGAAAGATAAGTACCATGTATATTATAGCACTGCAAACTCACCCTGCCTTCTATACTTAAATTAATTAATAAGATCACACATCTAGAGCTGGAATGTCAGAAGCTATCTCACCCAATCATTTTACAGATGAGGAAATTGAGGCCCAGGGAGGTTAAATGAGTTGACCAAGGTCATCACATAGGAAGGATTAGAACCCACATTTTCCAGTACCAGAGTAGGTATTCTTTTTATTCTGGAAGTCAAGATCTCAGTCTTTTGTCATTCTTATTGGTAACCCTTGTGACAATCTGTCCATTATTACTTCTATTTGCCATTCAGGGGACTCCTGAGCAAGGCAATATTTATTTATAGCAGATTTCCTGCCTTTCATTAAGGTGAGGCTTGCTTGTTCATCTGCATTTCCCAGGCAGGTAGCAGATTCCTGCCCCAAAGTACAATCTAACAGTCTCATTTTAAGCATAACAAAATGGAGCATGAGAGCCAAAGTAATTTACCCAAGGTTAGAAAGATCGTATGTAACAGAGGCAAGATCCAAACCTTCCAACAATGTCTTGCGTGTGGTAGAGCAGGCTTATACAACATACGGCCCACAGGCCACTTTGCTGGGCTCAAGCAGACGCAGGCCATATGCTGTCGAGGCCTGTGGTAGAGACTTAACAAATACAGGTTAGCTTGAATTGCCTCCAAGTCCAGTTCACTTTCTACTACCTCTCATTTCATTTTTTATAGTTGTTTTTTTTTTTTAAATGAATGTGTCATATTTTTCTACTCTACTGGATGCTCCATAAAGGCAGGTACCTTCTCTTATCTAAACATCATACACCCCCTTACATACATTCTGCACACAGCTCTGCTCACATTTTATGCTTACTAAATATTTGTTGAATTGAATCGAGTTGGATTCATCTGAATCCACATGCCAGACATTCCAGAGTTGACTATTGTACCCCAAACTTCTCTTGAAGAACATCTGCTTTTAAAATTCAATTCCATAAACATTTATCAAACGCCTACTGCGTGTGAGACACTAGACTAGTCATTGAAGATACAAAGATTAACATAGTGTCTGTGGTCGAGGAACTCTCATTCTTCTGAGAAGATGCAACATTTTTCAGCACCACATTCCAATTTGAGGGAAAATATTAATAAAGTTTCAAATAAAATGGCACAATACTAACCAATGTGTTTCTTTCACAGTTCACAATGTTCTTTATTAGATTTCCATCCTATCATTATGTACTTCATTTAAAAATTGTACTCAGCATATATACATTTAGGTCATAGATATGTATATGTATATGTGTGTATATATGTATGCACACATACATACATACATAAATATACGTACACACATACATATATATGCACACATATGATCCTTATATCCACAGGTAAGTAACTGCATATGCTATGGCCATCAAAATGCTAGAAATTTTCTTGCTCAGAAGTATTATTGTTTCTCAGCTTCAATTTCTTTCCTGTTTTCCTGGGATGTCAGGGCTCCTTTGGGGAAGCTTGGTCTTTGTAGAAAAGGTCCAATTATCATTCCATGTTGGCAAAAGGAAAGCTGTAATAGGAGCCAGGATTTCTGGCACCTGCTGCTGTCCCATTCTCCTGGGGATATTTGTTTACTTGGTTTTTATAACACGGGTGATTAGTACAGAGATGTAAATACAAAGTAATTTCATGAAGAGAGCCCTAGCAACTTAGAAAAAACCTCATGTAGGAAGTGCCCCCTGTGCTGTCCTTTGAAGGAAGCTAGGGATTCAAAAAAACTATGAGAAGAACATCCCAGACGCAGGGGACATACTGTGCAAAGGAGGATGGAACAGCTAGCAGGCCAGGTTGACAAGAATAGGGAGTGAGTGAAGAGAGAAGCAAGGCTGAAAAGGCAAATGCCATTCTTATTTTTTCTAGACCTGTGATTTTATCAGTATAGGGAGTCTGTAGTAAAGAAATTCCCTCCACTGATACAGTTTAGGAAATTGTAATTCATAGGTGGCATAGCGGACAGAGTGCTAGACCTGGAGTCAGGAAGACTCATCTCCCTGAGCTCAAATCCGGCCTCAGACACTTCCTAGCTGTGTGACCCTGGGCAAGTCACTTAACCCTGTTTGTCTCCAGTTTTCTCATCTATAAAATGAATTGGAGAAGGAAATAGCGAACCACTCCAGTATCTCTACCAAGAAAACCTGAAATGAGACCATGAAGAGTCAAACATGACTGAAAAATGACTGAACAAAAAAATTTCTAGTCAGAGAATTCTTTAGGTAGAGCACTGAGACAATGATTTGCTGTGGGTCATACAGACAGTACTTGAACCTCAGTCTCCCTGACTGTGCCACCAGTCCTTTACCTCTGTCCCACGACTCACTTCTCCTCTGGCTTCTTCTTTCAAGGTAAAGTTTGTCCACACAGTTTTTTTTTACCTTACATAGACTTATTAAGAACTAGTTTTTGGAGGCAATCTGACAGAAGTGTCATGTTTTCAATGGAAACTTTTAGCAAGTTTCTTGATGATTTCTGGCACTTAAATAAATACTCATTTGGGGATGTCAGCTGTTTGACATGACTTTCAGCTGTGGTTTCTTTTTTTCTTCTTTTTCCAATGGTGACACATAAAGGCCAGCCATTTTCTGAAGCATATTCTGATTCAGAGGAACTTAGTAAAGTTTCAGGTACAACTCGGCACAGCACTAACCTCCGTGTGCCTTTGTTAGTCCACAACGCTCTTTGATTTGGTAGATGTCTGTCCTATGTTTGGAAATTTCCACTGATAAATTTTCTTCATTTATTCAAATAAATAACAAATAAACAACAGCTAGCATTTAGGTAGTGCTTTAAAATTTGCACCATGCTTTCCAAATATTCTCTCATTTGAGCCTGGGAAGTAGATACTAAATATTATCTGCATTTTACAGATCAGGAAACTAAGGCAAGCAGAGGCTTAAATGACTTGCTCAGGGTCATACAGCTAGTGTCTAGATTTGAATTCAGGTCTTCCTGACTCCAGGTTACACTTTGTCACCTGGCTACCTGAATACCTCTTCAACATTCGACATGAACATAGCATTAACATAATAAAATTCAATATTCAAATGTCTATCACTAGATAAGCTATGGCTACCACCATCTGTTAGACATTTTTCTAGTCCTAGTATATTATTTCCCAAGTTAGAACACTTTCCCCAAATGCCTAAAATCATGATTTCAAAAATTTTAATGGATTTTTAAAATTTAATTTATTTTTATCACTACCTCCTACTCCTTGATGTAGTTTTCATATATGTTAAACTCAAGATATCACCATGAATCAGGGACTAATGTATGCTATTTTAATTACTTATATTAATTATTATCCTAAATTCTAATTTTATACTATTAAGTCAATATTCATGTAAACTTTCTAGAAAGTTTTAGAGATGACATAATCATCCACATATTAGTAATCCAAGGTGTTGGCTTCCTGAAAGTTGTACAATGGAAAA